ATTACTAACTAAATACTATAGCTTTTTAAAATTTCTAAGCTAATATAGAGTTACTAGTAGTATATAAATAATATACTAAAATTTTATTTATTTATTTATTATAGTTCTTATTTTAGAGGGGGGTAAGAGATGCTAAAAAGTGTGCGTTAAGTGGGGTCTGTGCGTTGAGTGGGGAAATACAGTACCTTGCGTCCGTCGCTTCGTTCTTCTCCCCGCATTTCACGTCTCCTGCCTCTTCCAAACAAGACCCCAGGGCTAACGAACTAAGGCGCCGTTACGGTTGCAGTGACATCAATGAACCCACATCTATCAGATATCATGCGTCGCTCAAAATGTGTTGTCGGCGCGATCGCTCCCAGCACAAACACTCGTCCCACGAAAGGGGAATGTGGAGCATAGGCCGCCATGATCCTCACACTGCTTTCGCTTCTGCTCTTCGCGAATCTATCGCCATGGCAGAGCGTCGCTCTGCGACATGGTCTCTCCCGCGATCCGCGCCTCGCCGAATCCAAAGATGCGTTCATTGAGAATTTGCTGTCGCAAATGGAGCTGGCAGACCTGGTTCAGCAACTCCACCTCACGTTCGCGGACAACATCATCGGCCCCGCGTCCGACAATTCGCTCTACGACTCCGAACTGCGTTTCACCCCCGGCGCCGCTATCGGCCACATGCACGATTGGTATCCGCTCAACACGTCGTATTACAACAGCCTCCAGCGACTGAACATCGAGAGATCGAGACTGAAGATACCCTTTCTGCACTGGGGCGAGTGCCTCCATGGCGTTGGTAGCTTCAACCAGAGCATGTTCCCCCAGGCGCTGGCGTTGGCGGCTAGTTGGGACACGGAGCTTGTCGGACGTGTCGGACGAGCGATTGGGACTGAAGCGCGCAGTATTGGGATTCACGCCTGCCTCGCACCAGTTCTCGATCTCTGCAAAGACCCGCGCTGGGGCCGGTGTCAGGAGGACTGGGGTGAAGACAAGATTTTGACATCGCATATGGGTGTTGCATTTGCATCAGGACTGTCAAAGAACGGGTCCTGGGCGGAACAGGATGCGATTGTGCCGGTGGTGAAGCACTTTGCAGCGCATGGCGCGCCGCAGGGTGGGAGTAATGGCGCGCCGTTCATGGGGCATGGGAACAGAGAGGTGTTAGAAGAGCATTTGCTGCCGTTCAAAAGCGTGATAGAAAAGGGCGGGGCAGGCGGCGTTATGATGGCCTATCACGAGTTGGATGATGTGCCGAGCCATGTCAGTCCAATGTTGTACGGGCAGTTGGAGGAGTGGGGATTCGATGGGTTCGTGACGGCGGATGATACTGGTTAGTCTGGTTCCTTCGTACGGACTGCGCACTAATCTAGACAGGCATGAAACAACTACAAGTCGGTCATCAGGTGGCTAGCTCACCTGCGGACGCGATTGCGCAGTGGTACAATGCTGGGGGCATGGTGCAGTTTTACGACTACCCTCTGGAAACGATTCTCAACGCAACCACTGACCTCGTGGGAAACGGCACCGTTTCTGAGGAGCTAATCCGGGAGAAAGTTCGGCGAGTACTTGGGCTCAAATACGACTTGGGCATTTTTGATATGCCCTACGTCGCAGACGATATTGACCCATACAAATTGGTCAGCGACCATGTCCCCCTGACACTAGAAGCTTCGCAAAAAAGCATCGTTCTGCTGGAGAATAGGAACAAGACGCTTCCGCTAAGCGTTGGCAACCCGAAGACAATTGCCCTGATTGGTCCATATGGCGATATCCTGAACTACGGCGATTACTCCGGCTCTTTCGGCATGTATCCCGTTGCGTATTCGACTACCCTCAGGCAGGGCATTTTAAACCACATTGGCACAAACGCGAGATTGGTATCAAGCGCCGGTGCAAACACATGGCTGTATAACGACCAGTTGCCCATTCCCGAGTATCATCTGACAGCGAACACAACAGCTGGAGGCTTGCTAGCAACATACTACGCCGATACAAACTTCCGTCAACCGGTACTGCAGCGAACAGAGACACCAGTTGGCACATGGGGCCTGTACCCGCCACCGGGACTGTCATCGAACAACTTCAGCGTGATCTGGGAAGGCGAACTTGATCCTTCCGTCGATGGCGATGTCGACGGCTGGCTTGGGGTCGCTATAGGGCCAAACACTACCGCCAAAATCTATATCGACGGCCAAATGCACATCGACATCCCGTTCACGTCTGCAGGGAACATCCTCTCCAACATTCCGGATCGATTGTACGCTGTCGAAAACAGCACGCTCCCGCCGCCCGGCTCAGCGCCGTTCACATTCAAGCCTGGCGTGACGCATCGGATTCGCCTCGAGTATCAGACGTGGAACCTTTACCAGAAGATTGAGAATGTGGGGTCGCTAAATTCTCAAGTTCTACTTTTCTGGAACCTCGTCGACCGCACATCACCGGTGGAGAAAAGCGTGGCGATCGCGAAGGAGGCTGATGTGATTGTCCTGGCAGTAGGAGGGTCTTGGAATTCCGACGGAGAGAGCGGAGACCGAGGGACGCTGGGCCTTAGCGCGAATCAAACAGCACTCGCAGACTCCATATTCGCACTCAACAAGCCCGTCGTACTGGTCCTGCAGGGAGGCCGACCGTTTGCAATCCCACAGTACTACTCCCAGGCAGCGGCAGTCCTCGATGCGAACTTCCCCGGCCAAAGCGGGGGACAGGGAATCGCCGACGTCTTATTTGGCAAGGTCAACCCAGGCGGCAAACTTCCGGTATCCGTACCTATGCACGTGGGTCAGCTGCCCGTCTACTACAACTACAAGCAAACGGCGCGGAAGAAGGCGTACGTGGACATCGAATCGCTCCCCCAATACCCCTTTGGATACGGTCTCTCCTACACGGTGTTCAATGTCTCGGACTTTCGCGGTAGCACCCTCCAAGGAAGCCAACAGAACTTCACCGCTAACGACACGCTCATCTTCGAAGCAGATATCACGAATACGGGCTCAATAGCAGGTTCATATGTCGCACAGATATACCTCCTGCAGCGCGTCTCGCAGATCACGCAGCCGCTAAAGCAGCTCGTTGCTTTCCAGAGGGTGTATCTTGAGCCTAGGGAGATGAAGACGGCAAGGATGGAGCTTGAGGTGGAAAGGTATTTAAGAATGCTGGATAGGAGGTATGAGTGGGTAGTAGAGAGAGGCACGTATGTGTTTGCAATGCTGGATCATGGAGGATGGGATGCGCTGTGGAACGCGAATGCGGGTGGGAATGTGACATTGCTGGCGGTCTGAGCGGCGGCGACGGCGGATACGATTTGCAGGGAGACGGTGCGATGCATGCTCTCGGCGACCTAGACGAGCTACCAACAGCCTTGCTCGATGACTGCTTAGGACAGGCCCCCCTCGGTTGTTCGTGCGACTATACTTTGTGAGCTAGAAATACAAAAACAAGAAGCAGGGAAAAACGGACGACAACGAATAATGCCCGTTAGACCCTACGGGTCGAGTTACCCGACCACGTTATCGTTTCCGAGCCGTTGCTTTATCCTCTGCCTGATTCTGAACTCAAACCAACATGATATGGATGCGTTCTGCCATAGCCTCATTCTTTCTCCGCGCGAGAATGTAGGGGCCAATCAAGATGTAGCCTTCGTCCTCTTTTATCTAAGATTGGTCTTCCTAATGTTCCCGCACTGGCCTAAGAACAGCGGCGGCTTGCAATTCTGGCTCTTCTCTCTCCTCCATCACTTAGCGATTAAGATCTGGTAGACCTTAATGGTTGTCGTTTAGCCCAACCTAGTGTCCCTCTTTCATTTTCGCTGAACCAACACCAAGCTAACAGGCATTAGTGACGGACAGCGAAGCACCTTGGAGGCAATCCATGATCCCATCCAGAAAGGCCCCGTCAGCGGCAGGCCTTTCTGGCGCGAAAATAACCCGCGCAATGGTGTATGCGGACAGATTATGAACTATTCAAGCTTCTGCAATGTCGTGCGATTCGGCGGCGACGAGCTTACAGAGTCCAGTTTCAAGTCCACTGCAGCAGAGGTCACCAATAATGATAGCCTCGGAGATGGTCAGATCGCGTATGTTGTCGGCATCGTCGTGCTCAGTGTCAGTGCGTCAGTGTGGTGTCAGTTCCCTGCAATAGCCCTTTCACACTTTCATGGATGTCTTGCTGCGTTGCTGGAAACTCTGTTAGAGGTTGCGAGCTGCGCATACCCTACTATTAGATGTGAAGGTCAACATCCAAGACATTAGCAAACCTTGTCCGTGGGACCTCATTGTTCATCCCTCTCTTGGCCTCTGGACGCTTTGGACGTGACCACTCTAGTACCCCAGGATGGTCAGGCACAATTAGTCTCATGCAGAGAACGGAATGCATATAGATGCTATGCTATAGAGGCGAATGCCGCATTGCGAACATAATAAGCAGCCACTTAGGTAGAAAGCAGGTCCGAAAGTCAGAAGTAACGCTAATCGTGCTTGGATTAGGGATGAGGAGCCCACTCGAATGATATTGTACTCTTGACTTTCTCATGAAGGGTAGAGGTTGAGCTGATTTCGCGATTTCATTCCGTTGTCAGTCCATAAACAATGCCGTCGTCGTGGTGCCTTCCCAGATTCCTATCCAAGCGGCTTGATCATTAGCACGGAGTTTTCATCCTCACAGATGACAGAAAGCTGGGAGAGAAGGCGGGGAATGTAGCAGCAGTTGCGACGCTAAACTCCTTGCCGACTTCAGGATGTGGAAAAGATAAAGCAAATCGGTCCGTCCCACTGGTACCAAACTTTAACTGGCACAGAGTTTTCAGGAGGATTTGACCAAGCCGTTACCACTCCCGCATCCGCGGCATGGCACCGCCGTTAGCCTGTTCTGTCCAAGGGCCTGTCGGAACAGCTCGCCGTTGACATGCCGGCCGCTGTGGCGCCCATTGGTGGCTTTTCGATGGCCGCTTTGGGCGGGATCTGTAACGTTCTGCTACAACAAGCATGGTGCCGGGATGGAAGGATCGGCCCCCCTCAATTGCAAATGGCCAGGGCTTTCCCGTAGCCGCGCATCCTACCCGTCCAGCTGGAATTTCCAGCACGTGACGCCGCTGCTCATTGGTGGGTTTCGCTGACGCATCGGACACGTTCCAGCTGTGCCCCAGCGGTACAGCCCCCTTCCCCAGAGCGAGGCTTTCGCGTGGATTTACCCCATCTTTCGTTTGCTTCGCTCGTTCACGTTCATTCCTCCGCTCACTCAGTTTCTCTCCATTTATATGCTCTTCACATCCGATATGCTTGCGCTGCGGGAGACATTGCATCAATGGCACGCGCGCGCGTTGGAGAAGGGGACGAAGCAGGCCTCTATGTTCGCAGTGGCCATTCCCTTCATCCTGATCACGAGTGTGGTAGTAATTTTGCGCGTCCATGTGCGGTTACGCTTGCTCCATGGACGGCTGGCGATGGATGATTGTAAGTCTAGCATTCTGGCACGTAAACACGACTGCTAAACTGACTTTTTCGAACTCTTTAGACTTGTTGTTTGCGGGCACATTTTTCACGATTTGCCTTTCTGTTGCAAACATGATATGTGAGTCGCCGTAGAGATGGCACTCAGAGAAATGAGGGTAATGACGGTGCCTTGTAGGCGGCTGGTATGGTGTGGGCATGCATAGTGAGTGTTCCATCCTACTTCTGTTGTCGATTCGATTAACACACCAAATAGCGGTCGACATCCCGCCCGAGAATCTCACGCCAATGCTGAAAGCAAATCTCGCAACACGCCTTCTCTACGTTGTTGCCATCTGCTTGGTGAAATTCAGCATCCTCGTCTTCTACCTCAAGCTTGATCCTCGCAAGCCCACGAGATGGACCGTATATTTCCTCATGACGTTCGTGTTCGTGCTGTCCATAGTTACGTTCTTCGTACTGCTTTTTGTTTGCGTGCCGCCATCTCTGTTCTGGGACCCTGTTGGTCAAGCTCTGCATCCGGAGAAGTGTATGAAGCAAGCGACGCAGCAGACTTTTTTCAATGTCAACGGCATCATGAAGTAAGTTTTCCTCATTTGCCGCGCTCGATTCAGAAGAACTAACGCGACAGCTTTACAGCATCGTTCAGGACGTTATGATCTACGTTCTCCCTATACCTATTGTCTGGAAGTTACAAATGCCACGCCGACAGAAGATCGCTATCGCTACTCTTCTTTGCGTTGGACTAGTCGCAGTTGCAGGTATGTTGCCCCCTGTCCTTTAGACGATAGAAGGACTGAGCTTGAACAGCCGGATGCGTGCGCTTTTACTATGTTCTCTTCCTCGCGAACGAAAAGGACATTTGGTACTACATGGCCCCCTCTCTCAATTGGTGCAGCATTGAGATCTATGCAGGTACGCATCCCAACCGCAGTCTTATACATTATCCAAACTGACATTTCATGCCACTAGCCATCATCTGCAACTCCGCCTCGACGTTCAAAGCACTTTTGAAGACCTATCTCCCCAAGATCTGGGGTAGTTACGGAAGCCGCGGCGGTCCCTCGGACAACCCACGCCACCAGTACAACCAATCGCACAGCGGACAATTCGGCATGAAGCCGTTCGGCGCGTCGTCAGAGAAATCGTATAGCAACCGCAAATACGGCGTCATCGATCTGACGGAGATTGGGAACAACAGTGAAGAGGCCATTGTGCAGAAGGGCATTGGAATGGGGACAAAAGTGGAGATATCAGGCACGGAGAGGCAAGTTCGATGAGGGATGGGCAATTTTAGCGCATAGGGTGACGCAATGGAACTACTGATATTGGAGGGATACACGGGATGGTCTGGAAAAACCTCGATGTCAAAAATGAGCTGGCACGACGCAATGAGTGCTTTGGAGTACTTCATATATCACAATTAGGGCACCGAGGTTAGCAAGTGGATAGTAAAAGTCTCATCTTTCTACCTCTTCGTCGCCCCAATGCAGCTCTCCATTGTAACCATCCGCCTGTTCTCCTTCAGCGCAACCAATTCATCGTGGAAGTCCTTCTCCCATGCTTCCTGCAGCCTTTTCGGCTCCCATCCCAATAACTTCCGCGCAAGCACAGCCTTTGTAGCCTTGTGTCCCCCCCACCCACGCTCCGCAATATCGCTGCGGCCGGCCGTCAGTTTGTCCGCAATCTCTTCCAGGGGTACAAGGCGAATTTCCTTCTGCTTCGGTGTGCCGTCCCTGGGTAGAACACCGTCAGCAAACGCGGCATCCAAACACCTCTGATTTATCTCCTTGATGAGCGTGCGGCCGACTGCTGCGAAGAATACGCCCCGTTTGCCCGAGGAAATATACCCAACACCGCGATCCTCGCGCTCGAGGATGGCGCGCACCAAAAGAACGTAGATATCCGCGAGGTCGAGAACGTGGACCCAGTCAAAGTTGGCCGTCTCGTTCAGCTTCCAGCCATAGCCATGCTGTATCACGTACATCATGATCAGCGGAATGACGAGGCCCTGTCGATTGAACAGTCCCGCGCCTTCGCCGAAGATACACGGCGCATTGATGCTGACGGCCTGCACACCAGACGCAGCGGCGGCCTCTAGAACACCGATCTCAGTCGTGCGTTGCGAGTAGGGCTCCTTCTCATCGAGCGCCTTCATTCGCTCGAGTATCTCAGCGCTATCCAGTTCGTCGTTCCACTCGCGCAATGGGATTGGAGGTTGCGTCAGCGGACGGTCGGACAAGTTCGTGCAGCCGGAAAGATGCAGCATCCATGGCGTTGGCTTTCCAGCTTTGACGCGACGCGCGAGGCCGTTGACGAAAGCAATGGCACCCTCGGGGATGAAGCCAGAGCCTGTGTTGATAATGATGTCGTAGTTCGAGGCTGTCTCTTCGATAAACGCTGTGTCGTTCAGACCGGACCATTTGATCGTGTTGATGCGAGAACCGTATGCGTCTTTTAGTTTCTGGGCCTGCGCGTCATTGCGGATGAGGAGGCTGAAGGTGAGGTCTTTGACGCTGGGGGCTGTGCACGCGAGGAGCTGGCTGAGGACAGTGCCGCCGACGTAGCCGGTGGCACCAGTAATGAGAATTTTGCTCATGCTGAGAGTACCATGCGAAGTGTAATAAATGTATGAGAATCAATCGTCCCAACCGGTGGAATGGAACATTCTTCTACCCCTCCATTACGCTTCGTATTTGGCGGGATAAGCATGTCGGGGTGTCCGCATTGGGAATAGAATATGTTGGCGAAGCAAGCCACCTGTTTCGGCCCTGTTTTACCCCTTAGGAGAGAGATACCCCGCCTTAACATGTATATATATAGGGCATTCTGCTACCCTACTTCTCCCGATACGGAGCTCCTTTCTTCGGCCACAGAATATGAAACTAGAAGGGATGAACAGTAGCCTGTTCACTGAATCCTACGCTCCCTCCAACCTTGCCAGCGGCCCTATGTAGCAGCGCTGCAGTTTGGTATATGGTCAACGATGAAAAGGAACGGTATAGTTTCTAGGTTATGGTGTTACTGGTGCTGTGGCCTCAGGCATTGCTTGTCACAGATATTACGCGATCCTCTCTAGCTTCAAAGATTCTTCGTTTCAATGCGTAGTTGTCCGAACCAATATATGTACAAGAAGAAAGCGCAACATGAAAGCCCCACTCCCTAATCAAACCTAGACCTCCCTCTCAACCTCAACGATATAATCATCTCCCTCCTGTCCAACAATCCTAATCTTCACGCCGAGTTCGGTATCGAAGGGCTCACCGCCAACATCGGTGAGTGGCGCATCGTTCAAGAGCGCGCCATTGTCCTCGCTTCCGCAGCCAGAGGTCTCAGGCTTCGTATCAATAACCCGGACAGGACCGTCGCCGCTTCCGAGCGCACTATCCGTGGTGTAAAGCAGAACACCCGTCCCCTCGTCGCACGCCTCGCTGTTAGCACCTTGCTTGGAGCGAACTTCCGCCATAACATAGCCCGTAGCGTTGACTGGGATGGCGATTGCCTTTGTTCCGCCAGCCACCTCGATGGGGCTGAGGCGGTGCGTGGTGACGCCATTCTCAGCGACGCAGTTGACGTCGCCGTCCTCGATCCAGTTCAGACGCCACTTGTGCCATGCGAACAGATCCGGAGACTGGCCCCAAACAAGGCCCATCATGTCGAAGCCACCGACGAAAAGAGCATTCCCGCCGGGACTATATGGATACAGATCGGGCAGGCCCATTGCGTGGCCGGTCTCGTGGTTGACCGTCTGCCATTCGCCCTCGGGGTACAGGTCGTTGCCGTAGGTGATGACATTGCCGGCTGTGAACTCACTGCCGTCGGGAGCAGTGACGGCGTTGCTATACGATGCCGAACGATTGATCTCCTCGGTGCCATTGGGCGATGCGATGAAGAGGACGTCAATGCCTTGGAAGCTGAACGAGTCGCCCACGGCAGCGAGCGCGTCGTTGATGTACCTGCCATGCTCTTCGCCGGTCATCCCGTCGTCGTCGGCGAAGCCGTAGGATACCGAGTCATTGGGCATACGGTAGAATTGGTCGAGCAGCGGCACAATCTCGAACTCGAGCTTGCCGTATGACATCTGGGAGTATAGGTCTGCAGGTTGTGATTTGAGCGGTGCATATAGGTCTTCGGTGCTCTGGCCGAATTGGTCGGCGGGCGAGTCGGGGAAGTCGACGAAGATGAGAGCGGCACGGAGAGGACCTGTGGATGGCGCTTTCCCAGTGTTATCCCAAGCGGGTCGGCATGTAGCTGGCTCAGGGGTCGGAGTAGGTGTGGGTTCCGGGACCGGTTCGGAAGTCGATTCGTCCGTAGGAACGTCAGTTGGGTCCGTGGGGTGGTCGGTTGGGTATGGCGGAATAGAAGTTTCGGTCGAGTGTGTTACGGTCGGCAGAGGATATGGCGTATCATCCGGATCTGGAGTAGGGATTGGATACGGCGTTTCACTGTCTGGTGGCACAGAAGTCGAATGAATTACGGTGGGCAACGGATACGGCGTCTCATCACTCGAAGTATGAGTGGGGACAGGATCGACAGTAACGTAGTGGGTCGTGACGACCACGTAGCAGGAGTCGCCGTCGTGATGAGCGAGTGGGAGCGCAGAGACACCTGGAAGAAGGGCGGAAGCCAGGATAGAAGAGCACAGCGCTGAACGCATGTTTGGGAGGATAAGTTAACTCCGAAACGACCGTTGTAAGGAAACTGGAAAAAGAGAAGAAATAATTGTAAAGAAAACAGGGATGCAGTGAAGAGCAAGAGAGGTGCGAGTAGGATGAGGAATGATATCGAGATGGAGTACGCATTTACCTACTTATATGCCGTAGTAGTTTTAACCTTTTCCGTATTTACTATCGTGAGGGCTGCTGCTGGCGGTGAGGCTCATCAGTCCCCTCCGCCATTGTACTCCTTACTGTGCGTAGCTGAACATTTGAGGCTGGGCTGCCAAGCGCTGCGCCGAAGCTTACACCTCGTACTCACACTCTGTAAGGCTGCAGAAATAGTCACACTGCCAATCGGCGGCTCCCGAGTGTGAGTTCAGGCGGTGGGCTTCTAGAAGCCAGGTCCGCAGCGCGTCTTGGCCTGCCTTGAATGCTTGACATCGTGTTGCTGCGCAGGAGCGTTGCTGCAACGTCGCGCCGCGACCCACTCAAGTCGGCGATGACACCAACAGCAGCGCGCCAATCATCGTTGGGCATGAACGGCGTCTCCGAATATGTGCTCTTTCGGGCAATGTAGTCGAGCGCTGGGGAAATTTGGGAAGGACTGGTAGGAGAATTTGGCGGTTTTGATCCTGGGATTATCGAGGGCTGAGGACGTCCAGCCCCGACGCCCCTGCTGCAAGGGTACATCGTGACTTAGTGGCTGGCTGCGCGATGCAAACGTACAAAGCTGGTGGTTGTTTACCTAGGTGAGGAGTTGATGAGCCGAGGAGTGGAAGAGAGGAGCGCGGGAATACGAACATGCCGGAAGAATCCAGAGTTCTGTGGCCTTGCGCAAGGATCTGTCATGGCACCAAACTATCCTTGGCTATTATCACGTGAATACATATACCTATGTAGCGCCCAACATTAAGCGAAAACGGAATGGATTGGGAGCGCGATTGAACGCAGCAGTCGTAGAATGCGCGCAGCACAGAGCCACCCGTCGTCGCGCCGCTTCCACATACCCCAGTGGTGTCCGTGTTTCGAGTGGGATGGAGTAGATGTAGAGATGGATTGCGGTACGACGTACGGCGGATAGCATGCTTGATTGATTGATTGATTTATCTCGTTTTAAGTCACCAACCTATAGAGGTTATGCTGACTACGCCTACGCACAAAAGGACTCAAAAGATCCTGCATGCTCCGACGGCGCATGCGCCCAGTAACAAAAGAAGGGTGGAGGCTGCTGATACACGCCTCTTTGGAGTAAATCCGCTTCGATAGCAGGAGGCGAGTCCGAAAAAGAAAGTTCCTGTAACCACCCAAGCGTCACATACAACTCCCTGGAGCATTGGAGGAAAAAGCCAGGAACCGAAGCATCACACACCTGATTTAATAGATAGATCTTAACTTAATAGAGGCTTGGCCAATGCCGAACACGGCATAGGAGCAGAACGCAAGGTAGCCCTTTTCGTCCAACCCGACGCTTTGCAGCGACACGAGTGGATACTAGGCTACTAGTTAGCCTCGCGCCCAGAGAACCGATAGTAGGCGCTAGGATCATACAACACCGACAGCCGCGAACGCCTCGGCCTCGCGAACGGCCATGCGTAGTGCGCGGCAACGGTTGTGCTTTCCGACGCAGGTATGGACGGAAACTGGACGGCGACCGTGGTCCTCGAATATACACATATAGGTTCATCTATGGTCCTAATGAAGGCCCACGAAAATGCGGCGCTACGTCGGACTCGAATTCAATGCCATGATGTATATAAATGCCCGCCAAAGCTCCTCCAGGATCCCGTCGCAGCAGCCACTCGTCCTTGAAGCCGAACAGCCGTGCTCATTGCTGATATAGCCATCTCGCCATGAAGCTCGCCACCCTGCTTGCCTCCGCCGTTGCCCTTCTGGGCTACGCAGGAGCTCACGGACAGGTTCAACAATATCAGATCGCAGGCAAGTGGTACAATGGGTACCATTCTTACGCTCCGAACTCGATACAGCGCTCCTTCACTAGCGGAGACCCGCTCTTAGACATGAACAGCAACACTATCCGTTGCAACAATCCAGGACACGCCGCCCTTGAGCAAGCTACCGTTGCCGGTACGACCCGCATAATAAACGCTCCATTAAGCCACCCGCTAACTGTTAACCTACAGCCGGGTCATCGGTTACAGCTTACTGGGGTAGCTGGCCTCACACACACGGCCCCGTCATCGTGTAAGTTTCCTTCTATCTCCGGGCAGCAGTGCCTCGTGATGCAAGTGCTCATGCAGAGTAGATGGATGGCCAAATGCCCGGGTAGATGCTCAGATTATGACGGCAGCGGCAACCGCTGGGTATGCTTCACCCGTGCTTTTATACTCTGCTTCTTTTGTTAATTCCAAATGCAGTTCAAGATCTCCCAGGGCGGACTCCTCGGTGGTAATCAGAAGGACGGCGAGTGGGGCCAGGTCCGGATGATCGCGCAGAACGCGAGCTGGACCACTTGGATACCGGAATCGCTCGCTGCAGGCGAGTACTTGATGCGCCATGAACTGGTCGCTCTCCATGATCCTGGAAAGCCGCAGTTCTACCCACAGTAAGTTTTCCCGGACCACCAGTGCGAACCTCCAAAGTTTCGAATGCGATCCTGACATGCTGGCGACTAGATGTGCTCAGCTCACTGTGACCGACGGACAAGGCAAGAACCCTCCTTCTTCGGCGTATGCTTCGATCCCTGGTGTCTACAAGACCGACGATCCTTCCCTGAATATCAACATCTATGCCAGCGACGGGCAGAAGACTGTAAGTTTCACGCCACATACACCACGAGTTCCACGTGACATGTATTGTTTGATGCTAATCGTTGTCAGACCTGGGCTGCCCCTGGTCCCGCGCCCTGGTACGGTTAAATTCGGCGATGGATTGGATTTCTCTTCTGGTCTGCGCTAGAACACATGGCGGCGTGCAACCGGCGAGCGAACTAAAGAGTAGGATCAATATGACGGTGATCATTTCGTTTATTCATTTGCAAGGTTATTACTAGATGCCTACATTCGGCTATCTTTCATTACTCCAAATTGTTGTCTAGCTCTTTCTTAATTATGTTAACTATAATCTTGTTACATATAAGACCTCTAGCGTCTATAATCTTCTTTGCTTTCTAGCTAGCCGGCGTCTTCTTTACAACCTATACCCGCAGCATATCTTCTATGGCCTACTAACAGTTAGTATCTATCCCGCTGTATTCTTAAGAATGCTTAATTAAGCCTATTGCAGCAGAGAAAACATATAAGAGGCTAGACGCAAAACTTTGTCCTTGAGCCTTAGGGCCCGCGCTCTCTTGCCTGTAGCCTAGCAAAAATCTGGTGCGCCCGAAGAGAGGTTTACAAAAAATTCTGCATTAACTTACTAGCACTTAGCAGGCCTCTTAGAATATCCGCACGCCTTCTGTTAAGCTCTTTAAACTACCTGCTAGCTAGTTCTTAGCTCCGCGATGCGTGCATTAATCTTAAGCTTATTAATAACTAACTCTAGTAATAGGGCTATTTTACTAGTGTGTGCAAAAGAAAAGAAAAGGAGAAGAGGGAGAACTACAGCTTAGCAGAGATAGGGTTATAATAGGTGCGCAACAGCGTCAGACAAGAGGTTAGAGCTCGGGTAGAAGGCAAGCTTAGCTGCTAGCACGTCCCGAGGCCAGTCAAATACCGATATTACCTCATGTAACGGCGGCGATCGTGGCGAGGCAAGGTGAGCAAGTAGGAGCAGGAGCGCAGTATTCGGGTTCAGACGGACAGAGTTGAATTGTTCTTGTGACACCCTCAGGGCGTTCAGAGGCCTTTAATTGCGGATTGATTGATTGATTTCTCTCGTTCTAAGTCACCACGGAGTACACGTTTCGGTGCGAAGGGGCGCACTGGCTAATCACTTCACGCATCGGATACCGAACGCCGGAAGGAAAAGACACCTACGATTCTATGAAAACAGTGAGATCTATATGCCCGAATCATACATTCCGTACGCCCATACGTCGTTTGCCGTCCTAATACATGGCACGGCCTATGCCACCGGCTGCCCCAGCACTCTGCTTGATCCAGTTCAACGCGCTACCGGCCCTCAACCACTTCAACTGCCCCCGGCTGAAACTATGTCTCAAGCTCGCCTCCAAGGCGCCTCCATCCCTCCGCTCCACCTTCATCACCACGTTCTTGCCGGGCTCCATCTCCCCATCCTCAACACCCACCAGCGTTAGTCGAGGGCATTGCTCGCGCGGGGATACCTATTGTCACAGATCATTTCGCCCTTCTCAAAGCCGCTAGCATGCTCGTTGGAGCATCCACAGACGATGTTACATGCCAGCCTGGACTCGAGGACGTGATTGAGCTGGTGAAATCCGGCGCTTTGTACATCAAGCTCAGCGCGCCATATCGGATAAGCGAGCAGGCTCCCCACTACGAAGATGTGAAGCCGCTTGTTCGAGCGTTAGTGGGCGCGAACCCACGAAGGGTGCTCTGGGGCAGTGATTGGCCGCATACGCCGCGGATGAAGGTCAGGTCGTGGGAAGTGGCGCTGAAGGAGTCCGCGTTCTTGAAGGTAGATGACGAGGCATGGCTGCGGAGCTTGAGGCGTTGGCTGTCAGATGAGGAATGGGATTTGCTGATGGTGCGGAATCCGCAGGAGCTGTATGGTAGTCAGTGAGATGTCGTGTTCATGTATTATTATCATTGACTATCGTCGCTTGGGACGCATTGCTAAATGTTAATTTGCAAAGACTGGCTACAAGGAAACTTGTATATATACCCTCATCTTCAGTGGATATTGCTTAGTTATTCATATACATTTGGGCTCCTTCTCAACCAACATATGAGCATACTTGGGCTACATCCGCAACTGTCCGTAAGGGGGCCCGCGGCGGGGGAGCTGGATTAACCACTGACGAATACTGTAACCGAATTACTTTGCAACAACCAGAACATTATCACCACTCCCGATCCAAGCGCTCCGCCACTCCACTCACATGCCAGACCCCACGCCACACTCACCGCCAAGTTCTCCCCACCGCCAACCCTAATCCTCCCCAACGTCCATCCATCAACCGGATCAATCACATCCACGCCATCACCTGAGCCCTCAAACAGCAGCCCGCTCCGACTCGCCCGAATCCCATCATAAAAGTAACTAATCGGGTTGTTTAGAAACCGCGGATTCGACAAGACGCCACCAGCGCCAGCCTCGTACGCGAACAACGCGCGGTTCCCGAAGGGGTTCTTGCGCGACACGGGCTTGAACTCGGAAACGCCGGTGTCGGGGAGGTAGACGGTAGAGGTGTTTGTGGAGGGGTTGCGGGAGACGGCGACGCCGTTTGCGTTGCCGGTGGTGATGTGGACGGCTTTGGGGCGCATGGTGGTGCGGTTGACGAAGTAGACGGTGGGGTTTGTCGGGTAGTAGAAGTCGATTAGGTCGCGGCCCTTTTTTTGGGTGCGGGTTAGCCGACGAGGAGCGTTATATGGAGAGGCTTACGTGCGTATGCAGACTTGGAATCGGTGAGCCAGAAGTTGCCGTTGCTGTCGATGTCCAGGTCGTTGAAGCCCAGGAAGGGCTGCGTATAGTAGTTGTTCAGGATGACTTCTTTGGCGAAGCTGGACGGGTTGATCTTCACGAGCGCGCCGGTTTCTTTGTCGCCGTCACCGTCGGTGACGACGTACATGGTGCCGTTGTTGATGACGCAGCCATGGGCGTTTACGGTGGGGGGTTGCGTTTGGATCTTCGTGAGCGTGTTGTTCAGCGTGTGGAGGAGGTACTGCCAGGGATGGGTGCCGTTGTCGCCACCCGGTAGGCCCCATTCGGTGAAGAAGAGGGTTTTGGTGGCTGCATTATAGCAGGGCGATTCGTGGGTCTGGTATGCTAGTTGATGGATGTGTTCGACTTTGGCTTGGCTTCCTATTATGTCGAAGAAGCGAGGGTCGTAGGCGATGAAGTCGGTCTCGTTGAGGTATTCGTTCCTTTTCGAGGATTAGTGTGTTGTGACGAGGACACCGTTGGCGGGACTAGGAGAAGGGCGGATGAGAGAGCATACGCGAACTGGATGATAGGATCTGAGACGTTGGCCACGTGCGGAGCGTCCATGGCGGATCGATTAAAGGAGCCAGGGATGGCTGCGACAGAGGGTGTTTCGTAGGATACCCAGGCCCATCTTCCCCCCGCTGTTTCAAAGCCGGACGGGAGTTCTCGAAGGATATCCGCTGTCTGCGCAATTGCGGCTGTCGCGAAGCAGAACAGAGGAATCCTCATCGTGCATGCGAAGCCGTTGGTCAGTGGCGATGAAGGCGTTGAGCTACCCAACTGGGGTTGAGCTTGTTAACGCCATTCAAGCTTATATGTACTCATCACCTGGCAGACGTAATTTACGCCTATGATCTTCCGCCCGGGGGCATTGAGCCAAGCGGGATCAGCATACTTTTGTGTCTTCCCAAGACGTCAAAGCAGAGGCCATTTGGTTCATGCCCAGGTTTCCGGAGCACCACGTGCGGGGAACCATGTGTAGTGAGCATGGCAGCGACACCCGAGCCGGGGAACACGATTTGATGCTGTCTGCGTGACCCTCAAGCCATCGCTTTGCGCCGTGTGCGTTGCCAGTGGCTCGTGTCGTTGCTGCAAAGAATGGACATTATAGACGTTGGTCTCTGGTAGCGTCCTCGGAGCACTCCTGGAGCCAATCGGAGGGAAGTTGAAGACACCCCTCCATTCCCCGCAAAATACCCCTGGCCAATGGAGCACTCCGGGATTCCCACTCCCAAGCCCGCGACTTACCCCAGATCACCCCAGATCACCCCAGATGATGCGTTCGCGTAGCATTCTCGTGGTGTATTGCGGCGCACCGCCAGCGCTATATAGTACCCATACACAAAGCCACTTCGAAGAGCGAGCTCAAGACAGCAAGAACCCACAAGAACCTTTCATCACCCCTGTCTGCCTTGCACAGCATATCTCCTGGACTTGTCCAAGAGAAGAAACATGGCATCGAACAAAGGCAACGACAGGATTACTGCTGAGAAGCACATCGCCATGTCCGAGCAGAACGAGAAGCTCGATCATGTGGACGACGAAGCCACGCGGCGCATGGAGCAAAGGCTTGTCCGGAAGCTCGATATGACGCTCATGCCCGTGGTTTGGGTGCTGTATTTCTTCAACTACATGGATCGGAACAATATCGCGTGAGTAGCCGGCATCCCGCCTCTCACCACCTTCTTCCATCACCCCAAGGGGTACAATCGTGTGGCAGCTCGAGCTGAATTCCTAATACAGGCAAGCCAAACTCGACAATTTTGAGAAAGACTCGGCCTTGTGGGCAACCAATTCAATGTTGCCGTATCCATCCTCAACGTCGGCTACGTGCTCATGCAACTCCCCTCCAACATGATCCTCGCCAAAGTGCGGCCCTCGATCTACATCCCCGCATGCGCCATGCTGTGGTCTTGCGTCTCAGCGTCGACGTCGGCAGTGCACAGCTACGGCGGTATCATCGCGGTGCGCTTCGTCCTCGGAGTCGTAGAAGCGCCATTCTGGCCTGGAGCCTTCTATATGCTTTCCTCATGGTGCGTGTTTCCTGGTCTAAGATTGTCCCTGAAAATCTGTGCTGATCGCAATCCCTGAAAAGGTACACGTGAAAAGAGCTCGCTTTAAGGACGGCCATTCTCTACTCTGGCCTTGTAGTCGCGACCGTTTTCTCCGGCCTGATCGCAGCAGGCGTGTTCGCCGGCCTGGACGGCGCAAGGGGGCTTGCGGGCTGGCAATGGCTTTTCATCATCGAAGGAAGCGGGAGCTTCTTCTTTGCTTTCTTAGCCATGTTCATCTGCCCCGATTTCCCCGAGTCGAAGACTGGCAGCGGACGCTGGCTTTTCAGCGAAGAAGAGCGCAAGCTCTCTATCGAACGCATCGCTCGGGACCGCGTTTCCGCGCCCAAGGCCGACGAGTCGATTATGCACGGTCTCAAGCTTGCTGTGATGGACTATCGGACTTGGGTCTTTGTACGTGTTCCATCCCTGACCCCTCTTAGTACCCGCTGCTGACAACCTGCCAGTCCCTCATGCTCTGCAGCAACCACAGCGCCTACGGCTTCAACAACTTCTTCCCCAGCATCGCCAAAGGCTTCAGTATCGGCTCCCAAACCGTCACGCTCGTCCTAACCGCGCCGGCGTACCTCGTCGGGACCGTCATCTCCTTCGCGCTTGTCTTCTCCAGCGACCGCAACAAGGAGCGCGGCCTGCACATCTCCGTCCCGCTCTGCTTCGCCGTTGTGGGCTTCATCATCACTGTGTCCACGCTGAGCAAAGCCGCGCGCTATTTCGCGTCGTTCCTCTATGTCGGCGGCCTGTTCGGCTCGAACGCTATTGTATATACGTGGGCGGCTTCGACCCTGAACCAGACGCCTGCGAAGCGCGCGTGTGCCACTGCTGTTGTCAACATCATGAGCCAAATGGTGGAATATTTATTCGCCGTATTTCTTTCGGCCGCAGGATGCGCCGAGATATATCTTGGCAATGTTGCTGATGATGGCGTTCTCAGCGATCAGTATCTGCACTTGTATCTATATGAAGACCGTATTGAGGCGCGCGAATAAAAAGTTGCTGAGGGAAGGGGAGGAGACGGGTATCAAGGCTTCCTTGTATCCGTTGTAAAGGCAAACGGAATGTTATGGTCACAGGTTTGAAAATAATGCAATGCTATATCGAAATGCTAAACTTGTCGAGCAACTCTAAGACCCATAGTGCGAATGTGAAGCGTGGCCCGCAAGTAAGCAAAGAAAATGTATATCGCTTATGAGAATGAACCTATTAGGCCTAAGGCCACCAAAGACAGGCCCCCCACCCACGCACGCTTGCACATTTTCGGCGCGGTCGCATGTGCAGGAACAGTACCTAAAGTATGAGCCTCACGGAGCGCAACCTTAGCTTCCTACTTTGGGTTTTCATTGCCATCGAGCTTATTTATTTCGCAGGTGGCGTCAGGCATCATCAAATATTTAGATCTAGTGAAATCCAATCAGCGACTGCGACGTACTTGGACGGCGAGCTCGCCCTCTAGCCTTACTTCAATAAGGCTACCCGAGACCATGAGGCTGTGGTGGTCCCATAACTAGTCCGTCTCTTTCATGTCAATTCTATATTTGATGTCTCTCCAGAGGCTCAGGTGCTGGACGCCTGGTGAGCAAGAATGTAGGTGGCCTTGCCAACGTCGGATATATAATCTCAAGGCAGTTGTTATACAACGCAAACAACCTCTAGCATACCGATCATACCAGCTACATCCACCTTTGCTTCTCTTCTGCCACCATGGTCAAGCTTCTCTTCATCTTTAGCCTCGCCGCCCTCACGGCTGCGATTCCCGCACCTGACACTACGTCGGACCCCCAACTGATCCATTCCGACTTCTCCTTTGAGAAGTGGGTGGACGATATCATGGCAAACCCTGATACTGCTCTCACGGTCGACCAGGCCCTTGCAGCCCACAATGCCACTATCCACGCCAGTTCGTCTCCCTCTCCTTCGGGACGTCCAAGTACTTCCAGAGTGCTAACTGCGAGCGCCATAGGAGGACTCGTCGGCAGACAAAGCGGCGTGAACTGCGATAAACTGACTAGAAAGCGGGCCAAAGTACGTCCCTCTGCATCCCCATACCCAGGCAGATGGATCCTAAACAATGCCCAGGGACCGGCAGCCGTGTGGTGCATCAACCACCTCGCCCGCCGCGGCCACAATGGCGATAAATGCAGCGCTGGCTGCTCGGGAGTCACTAACTGCCAACACGGCCAATGCGAGATTGTCTCGCAAACGGGAAGATGTGGCGATAGGAAAGTCAACTGGTAGGACTACCCTTTCTGCGTTTCTGAATGGAGCGTTTGCTAATCCATGCGTGTGTGCAGCAACGCTGTTGCTCGGACTGCTGGCGCTGTCATGGATAAATGCTTCCGGGCTGATCAAACGGTTGCTGGGAATGCTTATGGGCCAAGGCCTAATGATTGGATGTATGTGCATCTTCAGGGCGGCGATTAGACATACATACGTGGTTTGGAGGGCTCGATTGGGAAAGTGTGCTGGGGAGTCTGCTAGAGTTCTTATAACCGTTTATTAAACTTGTTTATATTGAATCTCTACTTACTCTTGGAGCTTTTCCTTTTATCATACTAACGGTATATTTCTAGATGCTTCTTAGAGATTGTAAGCTCTCGAAAGGCTTACAGCTTCGAAAGAGCCAAATAATCTACGTTTTAAATTGTTCGCGGCGGAAGGACTAGACTATTTTCGCGGATCTGGGAATTATGGCGCCCTGCACTCTTATAACTCAAACTTCGAAGTCCATCGCGCGAGGCCTTTCAAGTCCTATGATGAGCATGCGCATAGATGGGGCGCCGGACGATCAGCCTGTCTGGGTCGGTTCACGGAAGCCTTATCATCAAGAGGATATTAGTGAAGCTGATCGACGAGTTCGATTTTATTCTGGCGCCCTCGAAGAGACGACCGGACAGTACCATGGCTCATAAGTTCATCTGGTTGAAGTCGAGTGCCAGGACCGTATCTAAGCGCAGTGCGAAAAATTCGGGTATTGCTTATTACACAGTTCTCGCTGGGGAGCTATCATTGAGTGGCTGTCATTGGTCGCCGTAGAGAAATGCGATAGATTGTGTCCTGCGTGTTCCCTTCCCAAGGTGACGTTCACCCGGAATACTGCGCCGCAGTGTTCCAGCTCAGCAGCTGCGCCGCCTCAGCACTAGCATAAAAAGCAAACCCCGCACCTTGCCAAACTCCCTATCGCGCTGAATTATGGCGAGCCTTGTTTCCCTCACACTCACATCTATTCTATTTGCTGCTGCCTACCTTAAAGTGTCAAAATGGCGGGCCAACTACCAGCTAGCACTGACAGCCGGGTTCCCAACCTTCTACTCACCGTGAGTCTCACACCTTAGATGTTGACGGAGATTGACTTGGCTCTAGAGTGCACATCACCGATATGTGGTGGCTTATGCTATATCCTGTTCTCGTACGCTGGGTGAACCTCCTTCCCCGCAGTTGGCAGGCTCGGTGGCTCCCGTAAGCAGGCACTCGGGATTCCCCACTCGTCTCTTCTAACCCGCGCAAGGCTGTCTCAGGTCTGGAGTATTTGGAAGGTTGGACACCTACCCTTCAAAGAAGTGAGCAGCGACACTTTGTTCCTCGCGACGCCGAACGGCAACATGCTCTGGACGTGCGATCTCGCTGTAATCAAACAGCTTTTCACGCTTCCCACTGTTCAGGTTCCAGTGGACATGCTTGGGTTTTACGATATTTGGGGCCCTACCCTTGGCTCCGTCGATGGCGAAGAGTGGAAGACGCACCGCAAGGTCGTGACTTACGGCCTGAACCCATCGACGTTGCCCGTCGTGTGGAGCGAGGCCATTCACCAAACAGAGACTCTAGTTGAACGATGGGCCGCCGACCAATACATAATTCCGGTTCTCAAGCACTGGACCTCTCGGCTGGCTCTACACACAATCGCGAGTGTTTTCTTCGACTTGAAGCTCGAGTGGAAGGAGTATAGCCAGACCGATCGGGTATCTGCAGATGGCTACCGCATCAGCTTCGCTAGCGCTTTGTTTACGGTCCTCGCTCATTTGGGTCTAATCTTTATGGTTCCGCGAGCTCTCCTTCGCGTGATTCCTTTCCAAGCATTCCGAGAGACGTCTATCGCCCTTACGGACTGGACAAAGTACATGCAAGACCTACGTGCAAAGGCGACTAATAATATCGAAGAGGTGGCTAAGAAGCGTAATAAGACGATCCTAGAGTCCATTGTGGTCGCCGGAACTCCAAGTCCATCCCGTCCAGACATTCGTCCTCTCTCCGAAGAAAGCGTCTTGGGCAACATATTCTTCACGCTTATGGCCGGGCACGAGACCACGGGAAACACGTTGGCCTTCGCTCTTCTCCTGCTCTCAGTCTATCCCGAACATCAAGTTGCTATTCAGCGTGAGCTCGATAGCCAGTTCGGGTCTCGACCTAAAGAAGAATGGAACATGGACCACGACTATCAAGTGCTGCAGAAAGGCCATCTGTGGGCCGTGCTCAAAGAGGTCCTACGTCTCTATAATGTTATTCAGTTTATTTTCCGCTTGACGGTAGCTCAAACCACCATTCACGACTCGAAGGGCACTGCACATATCATCCCTGCGAACACCACCTGCCTCTTGAACTACTCGGCCCTTTTCCAGAACCCAAAGACATGGGCGCCTAACCCTGTCACCGACGACAGACGGGCTGAGCTTCATCATTCTCAAGCTATCGACTTCAACCCCTCGCGCTGGCTTAGCCGTAACAATGACGACGAGGTCTTTTGGCCGTTCGGTTACGGGTCGCGCAAGTGTCCGGGGATGCCGTTCGCACAGGTGGAGATAGTGGCCGTTCTGGCAACACTTCTGAAGGATTATTCCCTGGAGCTGGTTGTCGGTGAGGGGACACTGAGAGCATGCAAGGGAGATGCGAAAGCGGCGTGGGAGAAGACGAGAGATGGGGCGGTCAGGCAGCTGAAAGATGATATTGAAGCAAACATTAATATCCAGATGTTGAAGGAGTTGCCAGTTCGTCTGGTTAAGAGAGGTGGGAGCTGAGTAGCTGCCCTTCGGTAAACGTAAGTGAGAATCTCTGTGAAACTTTGCGCTTGAGTAAACATTGTTATCCACGAAGAGCTAGAGTCTTGTTTTCTATGATGGAAAGGGTTCTGGTCACGGTTCGGGGCTTTTCTTCGTCTGGCATACTAAGTGGCATGGAGATGAAGAATGCCGTTCGCCTAGCAGCGTTTAAGGCTATCTATCGCACATATATCTCACTGGTTTACCATCCCAGTCATCCGTACCAGGCTTCAGCATCGACGCATCCCATTTCAAGCAGTAACGGTGAGCGATGCACATGGGTTCATCGCACATAGTGTGGCGTCGATCAATAGAGTGCACAGCCACATTCACTCTATAAAGCTTTGCGCAAGGGTTGCTTTATCTGGAAGTTAAACCTCCAATGTCTATTCGGCGTACACAGTCACGTGCAGCTGTTCAATTTAGGCTAGCGTCTCATGATGTCATATTCTGCAATTCGAAACACGCAACCCACCGCTCTCCGCATACACTGCTCCATCACTACACGTTGAAACCTGCTATTTTCCAGGACCTCTCTGGCTTCAGAGGCAGTCCTTCGTAGTGGAATCTCCTCTTCGCCGCCACGTCCCTCCATAGCCAAACCAGGACAACCACCATCGTTGTGACCACGCTCAGGAACCCGAAGAGCCATATCCAATGGCTGACACGGAATCGCGCTCTTCCGTCGACCGTATCTCCGAAGTCAAAGAACTGAGTCCCGAAGATCGTTGCGATAGTCGTGGTTGGTAGGAACAAGAGAGTTACGACGGCGATGGTCTTCATGCTGGTGCTGTCGCGCTGGATGATTCGGTTGTCATGCTGAGCGATCAGATTAAACGACTTGTGGTCATGTCAGCTCTGATTACATGTGTGAGGAAGACGCTAACCAGGTTCACGATGTTCGACATTCGCTTCTCCAAACTCCTCAAGCGCAATTGCGTGCTTTGGAATAATCCTTTCCTATATCGCAGGCCTTGAACCGTCACGAACCTCAGGCAAGACTGGGGCTGCAACTCTCTTATCATATAGCCAGCTAACATACTCTCCAGGATTGAGACGACGGCCTCGGCGCCCTCATTCAGATATGTAACACTCTTCGCGACCGTATGCATCTCCAAGAAGTCGACTTCTTCTGCGGCCGTACCCGGATTCTCCGCTCGGCTCAAGATAATCTGATCTGGGTCAGTACACGTTGTAGGAAAGGGCACGGTCTTACGTGTTCCAGGTCGCCAAAGACTCCGGATAGCCTCCATGCCATTGCGTCGAGTTGTTGGTACAACTCATCGAAGACGATCTGGAACAATATAGAAGGCTCCTGTACAGCTTGCTTCCATTTCTCGCCTCGGTCCAGTAGCTCGAACCGTTGTTCAAGCAAGTCCGGTGCACCAAAACATAGAAACGTCAGTTTCCTGTCCTGCGCAGCAGCACCCTCTCCTTCACCTTCGGTTCCAGGCATATCCTTTGGTTCGCGCTTGCAAAGGTAGGCAGACCGATGCCAGCTATAGTCGGCTTGTCGCAAGGCTCTTCCCTTCGCAAGCGTATGTTTTGTCTCGATCTTGCGCGCCTTTGTGCGCCCGATCAAACCGGTTTCTATTTCGACATTCTTACACAGGCTGTGAAGCCATGAGTCTAGTATCTGTCAGTCTATCAATCACGAGATATGGAGAAGTCCACGTTTGTAACGTTATACGAAAGGATCACTCGCATTCGACGCCCTGTCCTATCTCGAAGTGGCCAAACGAATGGGTGACCGAGTTCAGCCTTTCGGCGACAAAAGCATCTGGAAGATCGAAATGCTTGAACAGAGCTGCCAGATCATGGGCCTTTGGCGAATCCCAGAGATCAAGGGTTGTGAAACTGGAATGATGTCAACGTCTCATGAACCCACGGGTGCTCTCCCCTTACATGAGCGTCAAGTCGGCAGGGGTGCATTCCTGCAGCCTATTTACACCTTCTATGGAGATACTTCGTCGCTGTTCAGCTCCTTTTCGCACTATCAACCTCAGAGGAACATGGGTTGAGTTGCATCGCCAGCTTACCCCGGGACCATTGGAAAACTTTGAATGTCAACTTAGTGCGATTCCTAGTCGCGCTCCTCCTCGCGGCAACATGCGCAAATGCCGCGCCCCCATCATTCACCGTTAACATGTTGGATTCTTTTAGAAGGGTAATGTCGAAAGTGAGAAAACACCCTCAGACCGACGAGTGGGCGCAGAATTGGATGCTTCACTAGAGCCCAAGGGGCGAGGAGGCTGTCCGGCAACAAAGTATCCTGAACGAATTCCTTGATGCGTCTGAGACAACCCCACACAATGGGGACGGTGGCTCGAAATGCAACCATTAGAATGAGTGGAGCTTATCACGCCCGCTTGTACTCCGCAAATGGCTCGTGTCGGCATGGCGTTCACACTTCCCCGGATTACTTAGGTGAGATTCGCGACCACAGATTATAGCAGACAGCGGGGCACCAGTCCTAAGACTAACTCCATCCGGCGCTCTGTGCTCGTATTCATGTACCAACCAGCTTATCACTCCCCTCTCGCTTATGCACGCGTCCTTCGCTTCGTGCTTCGCTATCATTAGGCCCCCAGGCTCGTATCACAAGCTCGCTAATACGCTCGAAGGACAAACAGAAAACCTAGTCGTGAAGGAAAACAAAGGAATGCGGGATGATCAAGCTCAAAAACGACCACGGTGGATTCTTCCATGTCCTACTTCGAAGGACACGGTCTATGCTAGGGAGATAACCGATCTGTTTGTCGCAATTCCACTTTGGACCAAATCCTCATGAGGATGGGGTGTGCTCCTGATTCGATGGAGCAAGGCCAATGTTGTATGCGGACAGCAGGCCCAGGGCGTCGTTGCCTACATCCGTATCCGGGCCACACCCCTCTTAAACCCCAGGATTGCAGCCCCGAAGGATTCAGCTGGGCTTCGATATACGCCGGATTTGGACGAGACCGGGTGGTGCATGAGAGCACTGCTACATCACGAGTCCAACAAATTTGCCTTCTGAGTCGCCTAAGGGGTCCATCATGTGGCCGCCCAGCGGAGGACCGGTTGCGTACCGCTCACGGAAAGACATCCTCTTTCCTCCCTCTTGCCCTATCGACATAACATTTCCGCACTATTGATCGACAGCCGGCGTTCCGTACTACCGCCCTGCCCACGGGCAGCAGGACCGATACCATATTTTGGGTGGGTTTCCTGTGCTGAGAAAGTATTTCTTGGCCATCTCATTAAAGTATGCGGGGGCACTACTTAGCCCCCTGTTAGTAAGTCGATTCAGCCAGATGAAGTAAGACCAGTTCAATAAGGCTACCGTATCATAGGCTCACCGGTTTCCCTGGCCCCCGCACTTACATTCCACCATGTTTGCTTCTGCAGACGCCTACACTGATTTCGGGCTTTCGGGATCGTTTCCAGGGCTCTCCTTCGGTTGTGGAGGAGTAGGTAAAGCCAATCTAACAGCTATATATGTGCAGCCAGGAGACCCCTTAAGTCCCACGTGGATGATCAAGGACGACACGAAGATCAGTCAACTTGAACGCTCCGTCTGTCTAAATTTTGTTTCCGCAAGACAGATTAAGCATGGTACGCACGAGTATACGAAGAAATGCATAAGCTAATGACTAGCTAGAGTGGGCCAGCCAAGTCCGAACGGCACGCGGGCAGCTATGAAATTGGCAGCGCAAGACCTGCACACACTGATCAGGTGAGGGGTCACCAGCTACGGTGCTCAGATTCTGATAGTGACCCGTTCTCAGTACCTCTCCAGTGAGCAGCATGGACACAACTACGCTCCAGGAAGTGCTG